CATATTCAATTTCAAGAAAGAGGCAAACTATGAGAAACCCTAGACCTAAATTTCACTATAAATAGGAGTGCTCTCTCCCATCTCTACACACCTCTCTCTCTCCCATAAACTCTTTCTCTCTCCTCCCTAGGGGCCATGCCCCTCTCTCTATACTCTCTCTCCTAAAAAGACCCTAGGGGGATGCTCCAACATAGAGACTCTCTTTCTCTCATGATTTAATTTAAGGGTTGGGAAAATTAGGGTTTGAGCCTAATTATTTTGGAGTTAGGGTTTTGTAAAAATTTAAGGGTGGTTACTTATTTTGGCCGAAATTAGTTTTCTCGGTTCGAGATTGAAGCTAGACTGCTGATCCCGCGTCATTGGATGTGCTGACTCGGTGTGGGGTGTAAAAAGCCCTGTTGAGGTAATCACATGCATCTTTTCTTTTATTTGTTTGTTCTTTTATTTTATATTCTCAAGCATAGTATTAGGTTGTATGAATAACATCAACTAGTTGAGATTTATTTTATTGATGTGTTATTTGTTGTTGGAATTTCTATTGTTTGTAATAAGACCATCTGTGAGTGATTTTTTAGCCAAAATTATAAGGGGTGATGATTATTAAAAAAAAAAAATTGTATTTCCCTTGCAACATAGGTATTTCTTTCAGGTGTGGCTTATTCAAATATGTAAGCATGAATGAAGTATTCTAATGGAACTCAGCCTTAGTGATCATCCTCCCAATAATGTGTAGAATATGATGTGTTGCATGTTATGATGATTTCTTGATTAATTCTCCATATTTGCCAAAAAAAAAATATTTTATCAAGGCTTTACTAATCATTCGTTAGTAAAGCTTTATCTTGGATAAAATTATAATATGGTATATATGATTTGTTTTTGTGGCCATGAACTTGATTTGGAAGAAAATTAAAGGTGAATGCGGTCAAATGATTTATGAATGCTAGGCATGTATTTTAAAATTAAATTGGATGATTTGAGAAAAACCTAAGTCTATGAATATGGTTTTGAAAAAACCACATAGTCTTATAAGGTCCACTAAGTCTTTATGAACTACTGCTTGTAAATGCATACACACACATACACACACACACACACACCAAGTCAATAGTTTTTTATTATTAAAGGGAAAGAATTGTGTCTTGAAGGTATTTATAAAAATGAGAAAAAAATTGTCATGCAATGGTTTTTAAATACCCATGTACATTGACCCATGTTTCTAGTTATTTAGAATCATCGATTTCTTAAGACCTTGAAACATAGAGAATGTTGTAGGAAATCCATCTTGCTAGACTTCCTTGACACATATTGTATTGATGAGATAACGTGGCTCGTATGAATTTAGTGACAAGATAACTAGTGTGGTTGAACCTTTATGGTTCAGGAAGGTTTTGCATATTGTGAAACCAACGGGCATTGAATTACATATTGCATGAGACTTGTTATGCTACCTCATGATATATGCAAAATAATGTTGAGAATGTATATGTTATATGTGCAATAATTGAGTGGGACATGCTACAGTCCCATATTTTTTTTAGCTGTTTAGATATTCAGATATACAGATGCAAGCTATCTCACGGATCCAGATGACGCGAAGTCTATATCTGGATATGTGTTCATGCTTGGAGAGGGCACAATTTCTTGAAAATCAAATAAACATGATGTTGTGGAATTGTCCACCATGGAGGCAGAATACGTGACGTGTTGTTTGGCGGCCAAGGAGGTTGTATGGATTAAGAAATTTCTTAATCAACTATATTTTCACCTCGTACGTTATGATGCAGTAAGGATTTTTTATGACAACACGGCGGTGATATACATGTCAAATGAGTCACGATTCTATAAGAACTCTAAGTATATAAAACCATGTTTCTATCATCTGAGGAATGAGGTAAGATTGAGAAAGATTCAGATAAACTAAATATTTTAGTGGGAGCACCTGCTAATATTTGACAGGCCAGTTGGAAAAACATACTATAATGTTGTTCACCCATAGAACCCGGATGTGTGGCGCTGGTTGTATAGCTACAGATGGGAGAATCTTGTTTGAAGAACTCCTTTGAGCTCATAAACATGTGACCCCATGCGATGAGGGTATATAATGATCTTCTGCGATAACATGTTCACGATTAGCGATGCAATATGAAAGATATACTATATCCACTTTTGGGATGAGATCCAAACAATAAAGAGAAAAAGACGTTGTTTTTATAAGTCATTTTGTGAAAAGATTGATGACGAAAGCCATGATTAATGTATTGAGAGAGAATAAGTGAAAAATGCTTGAGAGAGAGATTGTACTTGAGAGAGAGCAAGTGAGGAAGAGATTATGTAAGGCCTTCAAAGGCCAAGTGGGAGATGTTGGGTGAGTGTGGTCATTAAAGGCCCTATGAGTGTTTGTAAAATGGAATGATATAGTGGAACATGAACTCAGTGAGAATGTGGTCCTTTATGGACCATACTAATCAAACGATGTTTGTTGATACTAAATTGAGCTTGATGAGCTAGGCCAGTCGGTTGAGAAAAACATATGTTATATGGGCATAGAAAACTATCTGATAAGGCTTTTAATAGGTTAACCCTTGATGAGGTCGGAGTTTGTCTGAATGAGTGAGCCGAGGGACTGTATGACTCTTGTGTGTGATGGTGGCCTTTAGAGACAAGGGCCAAAGCCTCATCCACGAGCCACTACACGGCATACATAATGATAGCCGTTTCAAAAAAGCGGACTACCTTTTAGGGTGAAGCGTATGCATTTGCGAGAGATATCCTTATGCACCATATGAGCTGTGGTTGCATAGGGTCTATTAACCTTGGTACGTCTCTAGGGAAAAACCTGAAATCCACAAACTGGAATTACGACCCCTTGGCTCATTGGCTAGACTTTGGTGTCCTACTAATGAGCCCCTACATGGGCTATAGGTCATGGGAAATATTTGGTCGGTTTGATAAAGCAAGTGTGGATCGTATTGAAGGTGGAGTGCCCCAGCATTAATTTATTTCATTCCTAAAACCATATGGATCATTTTCTCTTCTAATGAAGTTATTATGTTTATTTAATGATATATGATTTTTAAAATTACTATTTGATTTTTTCTAGATTTCTGGATATTTTATTTATCAAATTTGGATTTATAAAAACATAGATATTGATTTTAGATTGATTTAAATATTCAAATTTGATTTTATAGATTTCTAAATATCATATAAATAATTTTAATAATTTTAATATTGCATGGGAGACCTAATATGCTAATAGGTCCACCATTGCATGTGGGTGGGGCGATTGAAGTGTCACCTAGGGTGGCACACCCCACGTTAATGAAACTTTCTTTATGTTAGTTCAAACTTTGGCTTGAAGAGAAAGCTTTGACGTGTTTTGAAAAGATTTTTCCTTGAGGAAGCTTTCAAAGGATTTTTGAAAAGCATGAGAAGGCTTGTACATAATTTCGGTAAGCACTATATTATAAATGGAATTATTTTATTTAATTTCTACTGATGGAAAATTGGTTAGGTATGGGGGATAAAAGTTCTTCCACCTTCCATAATGTTGATCGATCATCTATGGAATGGATGGTTCAATTCTTTCACCTCACAAGACACCCAAGATCAATGGTTCATATTCAATCTCATAAGAAGATGCAAGCCAAGGAAAACTCTAAGAAACCTTAATCTTGTTCAAAGCCTATAACAATATATTATCTGTATCCAAAATCTCTACACTTTATCTCTTACACCTAATTCCCATATCTCTCCCATATCCCGTAAAAGGGGCACACCCCAGTTAGAATATATCTTTTTCTCTCTCCCTCAAGAAACTCAAAGGGGCACACCCTTCTATCTCATCTTTGATATCTCTGTAATGGTGGTTCTCTCAACCCTCTCATGATCTCTCATCTTTTATTTGAGTTTTAGAATATAAGGTTGTGGTAGAAAAGAGAAGTATTTCTCTCAAACGATGTTGCTAAGGGGATTCACCTAAGGGTTTGAGATTTGTTATAAAGGATTTCATAGTTCCATCAAAAGGGTTTGCCTAAACTTGCTTTTCCGGTTGATATTGAAGGTTGATCGTTGATCCCGCGCTATCGGATAGTGGTAACTCGGTGTGGGGTGTAATAAGCCTAGCTGAGGTAATCTCCGACACTCTCTTTTGTTTTATGTCATATTTAATTATATTATCTTTATATTTTCAAGCATAAGAATTATTGATATTTTATTTGTTTAAAGAAAATTGATTTACTGCCATCAAGGTTTTTGAGATCTTAGATTTGTTAGTTTTATTTTTTTTTGAAGTAATAATTATTGTAATAAGACTACTTGTAAGTGATCTTTACCAAAAAAAAAGAAAAATGGTGAAAAGAAGAAAAATAAAAAAAACATATCTCTTGGCAAGATCACATTAGTCTTTCTTTCATTTAGTTGGTATTGGTGAACTCGTCAGGTATTTTAAAAAATAAAACAAAAAATTATTATAAAATTCTAAAAAATAAAAGATTTTGTTGGTAATAT